AGAGAGAGAGAGAGAGAGAGAGAGAGAGAAGGCTCACAGTAGGCTATCTAACTAATAAGCACAATTTTAAGCCTGCACTGATGACTCAATGTAGTTAACTATTTGATCATGCTCTCACATTTGCATGCAACGTTATGCATACCACAAAAGCATTTACATCAACTTGAACATTAACATAGGGAACCCCCTTATAAGATGCTCTGCTAAAGCTGTGTCTAACAATTATGGAAGATTTTAAAACAGAGGATACAGTGCAAAGGTTTAACAAAACAAGAACTCTTAACTGTATTAAATAATCCCTGAAATGCAGTCTGCGAATACTCTAACATCACAACAGCATAACCTTGCTAAATTTACTCTTTACATCTTTATAACAGATACTAACCTTTATTAAGTATAGATTCAAATTTTCAGCAACTAATCTACTCCGCTATATATAGGCAGAAGATCCATAGCTCCTTATGTAAGTATATATTCAATATTTAGTGAACTTTTCACTCTCTCAGCATCAAAATATTTCAGGATCGCTCCCTCTATATTACACGATTGAATGCAGAATGTGGTACCCGACCTGTATTCCTGTGATAAGAATTGTACCAGCAAAAACCTTACAGCAGAGCACATTTCAACTGTAACTAAGCAACACCGCTTCAAACGGCTTCCTGGAGATTACATATTAAAATGAATGACTGGCAGTAGTCTTTGAAGAGATACCATAACAATAACACGTCAAGTCCCCAGCGGCTGAGAGGACACAGAACAGTGGGTATTTTACTGCATACCGACAGCTCCTGGCACAAAATGCTCAGAAGCCTATTAGGAAAGGAAATAATACAAAGGTCCCCCTTTCTTACCTGGGGAAACAAAATGCAGGCTTGTGTATTGATCACAGATGTCTGTTTATTCCTATGTGCTGAAGAAGGGTTTCTCCCCAGTCAACGCCCAGTGTTTGCACAGCAGAAATTAATGGTAATTCACTGGCTCAGCTCACCAAGTGGTCCCACCATCCCCATCTACCCACCTACATTTTCATTGTTTCCCACTTCAGCCAACACCTTGTTGTGAAAGAGAAATGAACCAGGCTTTCCCAAATGCAAGTGATGCACTGATTTTACTATGGCAAAAACTCCACTAAGGGTATCCTGGGACTAACATACTCTCACATAAAGGAAAGACTTAGAACAAGTATCTCAGCTAGCTGCATTTGAGACCTTGCCAGACAAAAAAGGATGCCCCTAACATGCACTGGTATGTCAAAATAAACCCCAGTAGTTTCATCCAACATCAACTGGAAGTCCATGAAAACATTTATACAGTGTTCTCATGAAGTGAAATCCTGCTCTGCAAAATGCCCCTCAACAAGTACAGACATTGTCCTTAATTTCTGGATCTTGGTGGCAATATTAACTAAAATAAAATGCTTGCCTGATTTCCTGAAGGTTTGGTCCAAATAAGCTGGTACATTTTGTATTAGCTTTAAAATGGCCATAAGCTGTGAAGTTCACTAAAATAACCCATTGTCAGATGAGCCAAAGATATAGAGAAAGCGATGATGTTATCTGAACAAAACCATAACAAACAAACCCCAACAATTTCCTAGGAAACAAGGACTGAAAAAAACCTCACTAATGCATTTGTGGTACTATCCAACAGCACATTAGGATTCACCAACGCAAATCTGAGTAACAAAACAAACTCCAGAAACACATAAAATTATCCATGCTTCTCTTGAAGCTTTCCCCACACCACTCCCATGGGAAAACTTCCCTGGCACAGACTAACCTAAATCAAAGTTTATTTGTTCGTGTAGAAATCCCTCACCACAGCATTTCTGATGCAAAGAAAACACAATTCAGGGCACATTCTCTTGTTTTTCTTATGAATGTTTCAAAGGAGGTCTATAGTGTTCACATTATAAGAGCAAAAAAGTGTTTGACTTGCTTTTTTTACACAAACGTCAAACCTTATGGAGCCTGAAACATTTGATGTTACCAAGAAAGTTAATGAAATTTAGCATTACAAGAGACTAGACCTTGAAAGAAAATAATATTTTCTCATAGATTTTAATATTGTTTTGGTTAAATTTTATTAGCCACCACTTAAGTTAGAAGAGCTGCCACTGTTCTAATAGAGTAATCAGAAGACCCAACTGATCTTGCAGCTAAACTATCATTGTCTGTCACAGCTGTTCCAAGATGACCATGAAACTTATCAGCTTTTCATTATATGGCATTACTTTTTAATAAAAAAAAACCCATCCATATCCAAAACACAAAAAATAATAAAACTACAATCAAGTTTTAAAGTAGTAGCAATAGAGAAAAAAAAAGCAATATAAAATACAGCCTTAATGCCACAAGTGCAGCCTTTCTCTACACCATCTTTTGCCTTTCTCTATCATATTTACTTGTTCAGTTTCTTTTATCATCTCACTGACAATTTCTGTCTATATTTTTCTCATCTATATTATGCAAATGCACAGACCTCACAGTTTTGATTTTAAATGAGAACTTGGACTCACCAAAGAATAATGGCAAAGGTATTTAAATCCATGCGGAAAAGTTTCATGTTGACCACAGCAAAGGAGACTTCTCATGCTATTTGTCATCACAACACTATGAAAATTCACTTCATTCTATTTTTTCCCCCAGTGCGTATAACCTGCACTGACTATCAGCACACTTAGTATGTTTGCTCTCTCGCTCCTGTTTCACCCAATAAGTTCATATTGGTTGAACAATGTACCCAACTTATAAGCTCCCTATGGAATTTTACCTAACAGAAATCCTACAATGGGGGAACAATTAAAATATTAATACCTGATATCTTTCAGGTAGAAGAAGCAGGAACATTCATAAACAATTTTGAATATTGCTTGTAAGATACACAGATATCACAGTTCAAGTCATCACTAAAAACCACCTAGCTTTAGCTACTATCAAGATGACACCACCCACAGAAACTAGAAATAATAATCTTTCTTTATACAGTATGGATCATTTACAGCCTTGGAAACAATGAAATATAATGCACAGAATGAATGCATGTAGAGCTACCTTAAGTTGTTCAAGCTTCCGGTGTATTACATTTGCCGTTTCCTCATGAGTTTGCTGAACAGTTACTTCTTCCCTCAGAGCAGCCTCTGCTCTATAGAGCCAATCACCTATGGTACCCAAAGGTGCAGGAAGAGATTTATCAAGGTGTATGTGCCAATCAAGTAGCTAGGAAATAAAAGTAAGAGGATTGAACTTCCTTCCTTGCTTAATTATACAAACAAGTATCTTCAGAAAAATCAGACTTTATACTGTAAGACCAAAACCCACATAACAGAGTTTGTTTGAGACATAAACCTAGGAATATTGCTTCACGTTAGTTCTGAAATTACAGCATTCTCACAGGCAACAAAATCACTATGAGGATTCATTGATTCATGTATTTCCCTTCCAGAATGGTAACTGAGTTACAAAACTGACCACATATGAACTGGAAGAACTGACAAGCTAAAGATCTGGAATTTCATCAATTAATAGGCACAGCAAGGGATATGAGACCTTCTTCCACCCAATGTAATTTATTGCATGCTCTTGCATAAAATTATTTTATCTCTATTTTGAACATATTTTCTATGTGTAAAGTGCAAATGAGTCTCAAAGGACTGTGGCGTCGAGAAAATAGCAGTAAAATACCACGTCTTACTGGCAATCCCAGTTATGGGAGTGAAAAATAATGAAAACTATGTCAAAACTCCAGAATATTTTTAAACAGATGCTCTGTTAAATATATGACATTAAAAAAAATTCATGAATATGCACTGAGTAATAACGATTCAATAACTTCTTATTTGGGACAATCAATATAACTTGCTTGGGATTTTTCATTCAATTATTACAAAATTACTGGCACAAATACTAATATTAATTCATCACTGTTGCAACCAGGTCAAAAATAGCATTAAAGCCTCATTTACTGATGAAGTATTCAGTATTACACAGAAACTTTTTTTAGTTATATTAGAATTTCTCAGATAACTCTAGCAATTTACATTAAAATATTGCATTTTGAAGGGGCATTGTGCATGCTTTTCTTTTTATCAACAATGTTTTGAACTTGGCTAAGCACTGTTAACACACTTTCAATAAAGGGAAACCTCAAAGTATAGTCCTTTTCTTAAAGTTCATATTCTTTGAGCAATATTAAAGATGACAGTGCAGTAAACGTTCTCAAAACAAATACAAAATAATCCAACAGTGCTAGAAATTTGGTCCATTTTCAGCTTCCTAATGCCTAACAAAATCAATAGCAAACAGGTGTCTAAATGATTTTAAATTCTCATCCTTCATTTAATAAAAAATACATAGCATAATAATTTTCAACTTACCCTGGAAGAAACTCTGTCCCATGCTTGCTTCACCATAGCTTGATCAAGTGATAATTTACCATCTTTCCTTAATGACTGGGTTACAAGTTCAATCTGCTTCCTTTTTACCTCATATTGTACTCTGAAATGCTTAAATGACTGCAGAAAGAGAAAATCAAATCAATGTAGTACAGAGTCAAAGAATGAAATTCTTCAACATTTATGGAGTGTTATAACCTATGACAATTTTGTACTGATAGAAGTCCTAATCCTTCCCAAAGAGGAGTAGCAGTAAACTTGTATATTGTCACTGAAATGCATTTTATTAAATGTTTTAATAGACTGTAGAATCCTCCAGGGAAATACAGGTAGAAGTTTTGTATTCCCCTGCAGTTGTCAGGTGCCTGAACCCTATATGAAAGGAAATAATAATTGATCAGATAATCTAGCAAATGAATTAAATGCTACTTGGGACAGACAGTGGCTGCTTTTAGACAACAGCCGAGCTTCAGGAGAAAATTTAGGCCAAAATCTATATTGCCGATTTAGACATTAACCTTTGAGAGACGGGTTAAAAATGAAGCTCCTATCCCTGTCCTCTCCACCTGTCACCTCATCCAGCCTTCATACCTCCCATCTGAGCTATATCACGCAGGATCTGGAAGGACTGTACAGACACATGCTCACTTCTAACTAGGACAGTCCTTCTTCACACTGCTAGAAAAAGCTCTGTGTTAGGCAAACCATCTGTGCACTGTTCTACGTAGCAAAGCTGGAGCTGACATTATAAGTCCTCCACCAATAAAAGGAAAGACAGTTTGTGTCCTTATTTCTTTAAACTACAGTACATTGACTCGCATATATACAGATTGCATAAAATACTACAGTACATGTTACACATAATGATGATAATAACGTCTTATCATACAAAATTTTCCCTACTGCTTACCTGGTATTTCTCCTGTAAGCTTGTTTCTGCCACCTGTGCTCGGGCTAAGTCTCTTTCAAATTGTTCTGCCCACACTTTTAGGTCTCTCAGCATCAGTCTGTCTTCCTTCTGTGATTTAGTACAACCACACACAAAAAAACCCCATTGCAGTCTATTAGGAGAGGTGTCAGATACAGTCCAGAAATTAACAGCTCTCTAGCAAGTCAGGGTCATTAGTTGTAGTGGAAGCCAATGGAACATCAGGGCCCAATTCTCTCATCACTTATCTTCATACAGTCTAACTGAAAAGCACTTACTGAGTATAAGAGGAGAACTCAGCTTCTAGAAATGAGTCTTACAGTGGTGAAATCATGACAATTTGGGACATTGCAGTGTCAGAGATATTACTTGCAGTTCTTATCCGATGTTAAATTAACACGAAGTCCTTTAAATATAACTCAACAGCTAATTTTAGTCTTCCACATATTTGCAATCAATTTTCAGTAAAAGTTAATAGAGATGAAACAGGAGAGGGTTTTATCATCTTTTACCACCATTTTATTACCTGGTCTGCTATTGCTGAAAAAAAAAAAGAAGTTATTTTCTGAGTGACTTCAGGGCAATCCTTGACATCAAGCTCCAAGTTCAGAAGTTGGCAAAATATTTTGATAGAGAATGTTTTAACAAGGAAAATGAAACAAAAGAAAGAAAACCCAATTGTATTCAGTTTCTTTTCCTTCCATGCCATTTTATGGCTTTGAAGAACCGCACATTTGTTTTACAGTTTTGCTTTAACACTTCAGTCTGTCGTGGCACTGGTGTTTTGCAAGGCTGCAAAGTTCTCTGCAGAATTCAGTGACCTGGCAGTGAACAGAAAAATACTAACAGGAAACCTCAGGTCTGTGACAGTGTTATATGAGAAGGTTAGCAGACAACAGAAAGTTTTTTTGTGCACTGTGTAAGCAGGCTAATCAAGTAGGATACAAGTGTCCATCTCAGATTTCTAACCAATGAATCATATGTGCTAGCTGTTAATCAGAAGCTACTCTTTGAAACCAAAGAAGGCGTATTACTGTAAAATTTGTCAGAAACAGATCTATTACAGAGAACAAATGCAACACCACATCATATGAGTTAATTACCTAAAATGAGTGACAAAGTTTCAAGCATTACGTGAGAGAAGAAAAACTGGACCATGTGATAAAAAAGAATAGCCACTGACTGTATTTAAGAACAACATACTTTCTTTTAAGGAAAGATCCTAACCTGGGAAAGGAGCCAATTATGGTTCCTTTCTTTGAAAGCTGCCGCAAATATGTAAAATATAATTTCCCTTAATAATTTTAAAAGCGTAGAGCTATCGCTTCATTTCAGCTGAGGAAAGGACAGGATCCTTAGGTAGGGAAGAAACCTTTCTTGGATATATTTCTACTAATTCTCTTACTGATCCTCTACTCAAAACAGTGGTAGTTGGTTGGATAGAATTTGCACAACAGATTGTGCAAATATCACAGGTATTGTATCTGTTAACTTGCTAGGTAAATTCTTAGCTGGGTAGTTGCAGCGAGGTTAACATGATACTAGAGCAGCTGTGCTGGAACAAAGTTCACTATAGCTCATGCTCCTGTCTTCTGACACTTGCCAAAAGTTGGTACCTGAGAAACAGTACAGGACACATACGACATTTCCCTGATCCAGCTATTTGTAATGCTGGCATCTCCTTGACTGCACATAGCGTCCCAAGAAGCCAAAATTCCTAGTGCTTCCAACTTCTCAATTCATTTAAATATAGAGAAGGAGAACAAAATTCCTCCTCTTCTGGTCTGATAGTTGGCCCTGTGTGTGTGGAAAAATAACATCAAGATTCTTTGAGATAAACAGCAAAGCCAGGACTACTCGCCTATGAGTAGAAGAACATAAGAAGAGAGAATTCTTAACTCATTCAGCCATCAAAAAAAGAACTTTGGTAGCAAATGCACTCCATTCATTAGAAGTTATAACTTTAATGAGACTATTGAGATCTCTTAGTATTTAGCTGTCAGCTCCATAAAGGCAATACTAAACTATATATCTTAATGGATTGGAAGTCATATAACAATTCTGCTGACTGAAACTTTAAGTAAGATATTCTTGAAGTCAGGAAGAGAATAAGTCTGTCACAATGCTGTGTGTATTACTTTTAGTTCACACTATAAATTCAGTTTTATAAAACACTGGCTTTTATTCCTCTGTTTTCTTATTGCTGAGAAGCACCTCCTTAAGGTAAGTCTTTCCAAGAAGAGCATCCGTGTGGCTGCAACTGTTCATAGAGCAATGTGAGCAAAATGGGTATTTTGCAAGATTCCTGTCAACATAGCTTAAAAATTTCATAATGGCTAAAACTAGGTTGACCAGATCTTTTTGAAATAGTATATCACCAGGATTAAGAACACCTCTGTGGTACCTGAAGATAAAGAACACAGGAACCGCTACACCTCTTTTAAATCACACCATTTCTCCGACATTAAGTGAAAATATAAAGTTAACAGTGGCATTGAGTCTTCTGTGATTTTTTTTTAACTATTTAGTTAGACAATTATTTGTTTATTTTGTTTAATTGCAGAAGATTTAGGTGTTTCAGTAACCACCTAACTGAATGTTGTTAAAGCATTACAAGCATTTTATTTATTTATTCATACATTTTCACAGGTTTCCATTCAGCGCATCACTTATCACCTGCAAATGGTTCTGTGGTCCCTGGTTCATACAAAAGCATTTTAAAGTCTCAGTTTGGGTAACCAACATAAAAGATTCACTTTCTTAGACACCAAGGGACCTGTCACCAACACTGCCGCATGTTTAATGAGCTATCATTCTTAAAACAAGACTTTCATTAGTGCCTAGTAGTTCCTACTAATAGTAAAAAAATATCGAAAGGATATTCTTACAGATATGTAAACTATTTTCTAAAGCCTGCACATCTGAAGTAGTATACAGATCAGAACATAAACCATCAAAGAAAAGTTATATAGGATAATTATAACTATTTGTGCTTTCCCCAGTATGAGGATCATTGATCTCTGATGACGTTTATTTCAATTTATCTAAGCCACTATGACTTATTTTCTGCATGCTACTTCCAAACAGCATTTTAAAGTATTAGTTTATCCTGACACCATTCTATGAATATTCACTGATTTGCAGAGATGAACAGAACTGGAGCACTCAACTGCCAAAGAATATCAAAGAAGGTAATTAGAGAAAAGTGCTTATGAGTTCCAATAAGATAAGGGGGTACAATTTAAATTTACAAAAAAAGCTTTCAGCCCAAACTCAAAGTCAACACATTATTTTATTAACTGATATGCCAGAGTTAATTTGAAAATTACATAATACAGAATACTTTGGTGTGTGAAGAGCTAAAAATATACATCTGTGTTTCATGAGAAATTTAATTATGAACTGGAAGAGAAGTACTTTGTTGGGTTCTCTAATATGTAATTATACACCAGGTGAACTGTTTAAATTCTCAGGCACAGGTAGGATAGAATTTTCAAACATGAACTTTTAAATCTAAAAAAATTAAGTCACCTGTTTTTCAGGGATGTTGAACTATTGTATTGCTCATGTGCTGAGAAAATCAAGTCCTTTTAAAAATGTTTATACATTAATTCAATTAATTATGCTATTCCTTTTGAAAACTGGCTTGTATATATGTGTTACTGGATGTATGTGTGTCTATGTGTTGCTGAAACAATAGAACAGTGTTCACTGACAATAGCATCACAGATGCATGCTGAATGCTGAGCCAAGCATCATCTCCAGGGACGAGCTATTAAAGCCTATCTGTAAAAGCAGACAGTAAATCACTGGAGTTGCTCAGAAAGTTACTTTTGCAGTTGCTACTCAGGGATAAAGAAACTGACAGCGCTTTTACCACTTCAGATTTTCACTAGCTTAAGCAGCAATGCACTGGGGCTGTGTACAGCTAAGAATGTGCAACAAGGTCCCATTAAACCTGCCCAAACTTGCTTGAATGGATTGAGAAGATTGGAATAATTCTGCTATCAGTAATAATCTTCACTTCAACACATATCACTAGTTAGATATACATAATACGAGATGAACCCTTGATCATACTTACTTGAAAAAAACCTATTGCTTATACATTAAAAAAACCCAAACAAACAAACCCACAAAAATGAGTGTGGAACCAAGGTGATTAATTGGATCAGGTCAAACTATAAATACTATTGACTGACTGCAGTGACACCTCTTATTTGTTTTATAGTATATTCACTTCTGCAGTCTTCCAGTTTTACCTCTGCATGTTCATTTCAAATACTCCTTGTTAGATTTCTGAACTTCTCTCAGTTAATACTAGACAATTATAAGTATGTAAATGTCCAATATGATTAGAAAAGTATATTTTTAAAAAATCATAATTTATGTGAAAAAAGGAGCAGTACATATCATGCAATTACACATGAATGCTCTCTCCTTCCAACACACAGTCCACATACATCACTTGCACAATCATATATACAATCTAGCATCTACTCTATAAACCTAAAGACATATAAAAATATCCATCTAAAATGAGATTAGATGAGTAGAAACATTGATCTATAATCTATTTTTTCATATTTATAACTATACTTAGGAAAACCAAAAGCATAGTCTGAGATTTATTATAGGAAAGTGACTTGCTTTTCTATAATATTTCTGTGAAATTATTTGCAAAGTTAAGCATTAGGCTGTTAGGATCAGCTTATGTAAGAAGGAAGACTTAGACTCATTATGTTCATCTACTTGCTTTTTGGAAAGATTAACATAAGGCTAGCAAACCAACGTACATAAACCCACCCAAAATCTAAAGTGAAATAAGTGCAGGATAAAAACAGATAACAAGCATGAAAGGTCCAATTCAAGCAATTCTTCTGGAGCATATTACCCTTACCTTAAATTTCATAAAAGAAATGACAAAAGTTGGGATTGCTTGAAGTTCCTAGCATATGACACAAATGGGAAAACAAGAAGGAAAAAAAAAAAAGAAGCAAACAAAATAAAGCAAAGCAGGCAGAAAGTCCAGAGAGAACAATAGAAGAGCCACACGTGTTAGAAAACAAGCTATACTTAAATACTTAAAATGTTATCAAGTTCATGTGTCTGTATCATATCTAGTGAAGTAGTTTTCATAATAGATCTGATTTCCAGATTACTAATCACTACATGATTTATTTTACCTGGAAAAATACTTACCTTAGAGTAACTGTGATTCTTTGAGATGTGTTGACTACACAAGTTCACACATATGCATAGCTGGTCCATGTATGCGATATAAAATCCCTTTTAATTCTGGAAATGCACATGCAAATAGCTGTTCCCTCTGACCACAAATAAGGGATAAGCTTCAATTATTACTCCACTTCTTCCAATGCAAATTCCTTATAAATTGAGCATTGAATCAGGAGGGAAGATGAATAGGAATTTGCGTGGACAACACATCTTGAGGAAACACAGTGGCAGCTGAGTTGGCCGGAGGGCAGGGGGAGAGGGTTAGAGGATTAGAAATCCTTCCCCCCCCGCATCAAAAACCACCCAGACACACTCCACTCTGAAGCAGGATTCTTCTAACTAAATGTAGGCATCTGCAACTGAGACAGATAGTCACTCTTTCAGGTTTTTTTGACAGATAGAAAAAAAAAAAAGTTGCATCTAGCATCTACTGCCCAACTCTTCTCATTCTACAGCAGGGACTTAACACGGGTCAGACGGAATACACCCTAAAAGTGCTTAATTTTGGAAAACAACACATTAAGAGTACCCCAGGAATTTAAGGGATAAGAATTTTGCAAGGTTATCTCTCCCAGGTACCTGGATTCTACCATTCTGTGATACATATTTCCTTATACTAGACTTCAGGGGGAAGACAGAAAGGCTAAGAATAGGGGGATTATACCAGTCACAAAATATAAAGCATGTCTGGATTTCTTTTTAATCAACTGCCAACAACATTTTATCTATCATTACCTACGGGAAGGATTCATCTGAGTCAGTTTTAACTCTGTTGAAATGCTATACAACATGTACTTCCAGAAGACAGTTTATTTAGGACACCATCTTAAGAAAGATGACATCTGGAAAAGTGTCTCCCACTGATTACAGGTGGAGTGTAAGTACCTAGCTTTTAGATTCTTAAAGACTGATGAATCCTGTTCCAACCTAAACTAACCAAATAATGCAAAATTCCTAAGGGAAGTTTTATGATGGACATATATAGTCCAGGTCAGTAAGAGGGAAGAAAGAGGCAATAGATACTGTTCTACCTTGCACCGTTAGCTATGGTGATTAAAAGGGCATCCAATTCACTTACACGGTTTCCACAAAACACAAAAGGGCTATTTTAAAATGAACCAATCTTACATGTTTGGTCTGATCTTGCATATGTTTGTATACCTAGAACAGAACCTGTGGACAACACTTCTTGAAAAAGAATAAATGAATTTTCAATCTAAATGGATTATATAGTCACACAAATATCTTGTATCTGGTTCACTGCCAACTCTGTGCACTGAGAAAAGAATTACTCTGTCCTTTACATTTTTCCAGTCAATTAATTTAGCAAGGTGAATATCAGAATAACAATGGGTGCAGAAAGGGGTTAAAAAAAGGCACTTAGATGGCTTGCGTGGTCAAGAAAGTCAGTTGCCATACTATGATTCCAAGCCATTACTTCTATCAAAAAAGACATCCCTTAAATTTGCAAAGTGATAAATTCATGAACGTTTCTTGAAGTACTAAAGAAAATAGTTCTTGCTCTTATAAACAGAATCCACTTTTCTATTTTTTAAAGGAATTTAAATCTCCATTCTTGTATGATGCCATTTAGAAAAGAGCGTTCTTCTTGCATTGCAAGACGACCTCTACTATTGCTGTTTCATTAAAAAAAATCCTAAATATATCAACTATGCTCTTAAATATTATCACAGAATTGCAGAATCACAGAATGGTTGAAGTTGAAGGGGACCTCTGGCGGTCACCTGGTCCAAACCCCCTGCTCAAGCAGGGCCATCTACAGCCAGTTGCCCAGGACCATGTCCAGATGGCTTTTGAATACCTCCAAGGATGGAGACACTTCTCTGGGCAGCCCGTGCCAGTGCTCAGTCACCCTCACAGTAAAAAGCATTTCCTGATGTTCAGAGGGAACCTCCTGTGTTTCAGTTTGTGCCCATTGCCTCTGGTGCTGTCACTGGGCACCACTGAGAAGAGCCTGGCTCCGTCCTCTTTGCACCCTTCCTTCAGGTATTTATACACACATTGATAACCCCCCTGAGCCTTCTCTTCTCCAGACTGAACAGCCCCAGCTCTCTCAGCCTCTTCTCATAGGAGAGGTGCTCCAGTCCCCTCATCATCCTTGTGGCCCTTTTTTGGACTCTCTCCAGTATGTCCATGTCTCTCTTGCACTGAGGAGCCCAGAGCTGGATGCAGTGCACCAAGTGTGTTCTCACCAGCTGGCAACCTCCCTTGACCTGCTGGCAACACTACCAATTTGGATCTGCTGTTGTGAAAGCCTTACTTAACCTCATGATTTAAATGATCCTTTGCCTAATTTTCACCAACCCATACGCAATTAAGAATACGGGCTGAAAGATGAGAAAGCACTCAGTGAAAAAAACCTCCACAAGATATTTGATTATGAAACATTTGATTGAGGTTTTTTTTTTTTTTCAATTTTCCCTTCAAATACTGCATAAATATGGAATGCAATACTTACATCTGTATATTTTTAAACTGCACTGTTGGATTTTCAGCACTAGAATCTCTCCATAAGCATCACGTAATATGAATGGCACTATTATTTTGCCAAGGATTCTCTGGATATCTTGTTTCATCTAGGTATCCTGCAGTCAACAGGATCAGCTGCATTAACTCCTGGTTTCTTTCCCCCTCCCCTCCAGAACTGTGTAAACAAAGGTCCTAACATTTGTTGGAATTTGTATGTGATAGTCTGCCCAACCTATCATGATTTTCTTGAGAACAGATCAAATATCTGAAAATGCAAGTTCTGAATATGAGAAATTTGATTATCTGTTGACAAATTCTCCCTGAAAAGTCATAAGTAAAGCAGCTGAGTGCAAAATAAGCTTCTCTCTGTAATATATCACAGAAATACAAAAGTTTATAGTAATAAAAGACCAAAATGTGCCAAAAGGTTAGCCATTTGAGAGCTTATATCTAACCAGTCCCAAATAGATGAAAGCATTGTGCTGTTTTTATTCTATGTATTGCACTGCTTCAGGGCCAGTAACTACTTGGGATCCTAGACTTTTTGTGCATTGCTAACTGGCCTGGATCCATCCAGATCTCTTTCCCATCAACCTATGACATACCATCTGGTCATCATTTTGTACCATAGCCAGAGGCAAGTGAATTGGAAATTATGGTGGACAGGATTAGGGGGCAAGGTATAGAGTGGACATAGGTGCCTGATGGGGATGAGAATTTCTCCAGAGATGGATTAGCAGAATTTGTGTCATAAAAAAATGAGGGCCCCATAGCTGTTCTTGACTGGACACTCCACTGGAGAAGTAGAGTTTGTCTCAAACTGCCAGGCACTCCACCAGGGGTGTGAGAAGGAATATAGTTCTTCCTCAAGGAAATGAAGAATGATGACATTAGAAACTTAGGTGAACTGTCAAACTCTTAGTTTATTCTCAAAGTCTGGGAGTTACTGATTTCTGCAGTGTGACATGCAGGGGACCAGCAGTTCTACCAAAATTCTACCAGAATTCTGGAGGCAACTCAGTAGTTTCCATTTCACAGCTCATGTGTTATCATTGCTCTGGGCATAGCCAGAGGCAGGCAGAGCGTGGAGTGGCCAAGTCCTGCATTCCCCTGCATCGTCTCTGCATAAAGCTCAGGAGAAGGTGGTGAGGTTATTCCTGAAAATCCAACCCCAGCACAGGCAGCAGACCTGGCCGAGGCTGTTGGCAGCAGAAACTGCATTGTGTGCCACGGTATGGAGATGACAGGACTGCCTTAGCCTGCCACAGCATGAGGCTTCAGTGCTCACTCCCTCTGCTTCAGCAGTCCCATTGCTCAGTGGGATGCTGTGGCATTGGCACACATATGTCCTCAGACCAATGTTGCGAATGAAAAATTCCAGTACTCAGGCACTGGAATCAGACAGCAAAGCTACAGTTGCCTTAGCCACACATAGCCACAAGGAAGGAGATTCACTCTTCTATAGCTCTGTAGGGAACGCAAAGAAACACACAAAAAAAGTGCTTCCTCTTTCTCTCTTGCTGGGACTGAGCAGATTGTCTCAGCAGTGTTTCCTGTGTTTGCCATGAAGAAAGCACATGATCAGGATTAGGAAGTGAGTCATGATCACTTGGCATCACTGAGTATAGCCATTCTAGTGCAAAGCCAATGCACTAGAGCATACACAAAACAAAACAAAACAAAAAAAAAAACAAGAAAAAAACCATGACTGAAAACAATTTCTTAGAGCAAACAGTCAAACATCACTGTGCAATACAAAGAAACCTGTGTCAAAATTGTAACTGCCTCCTGAGCCTAAAAGCCCAAAGACTGTAAGTAGTCTCTTGGACTATTCTTGTTCTTATCCAGAAACCCAGTGTGATGGAAACAGAAGTGACGCATTGCTTCAGGTATCAAATTATTGCAGTCTCATTCGTGTTATGCTTGAAAACCTCTTAGGGAACTTCAGGATCCATTGGTTTGCTAGTATCTACAATAAATGTTTGTGTTCTTTTTGGCTTCTACTGCTGAAAATAATAAAATCTCTACAGAATCACCATTCTGTTTTCTCCATCTACTAGTAAACATCTGCAACACTGGTTCCTTTATTCTCAGCTAATCTTATCCAGTTTTCTTATTCTGCTTGCTTTTCACTTGAACTGCTTATCAAAAGGAAACAAAATATACTATAAGAGAGCTATAAAATGTATTTATAAAGCCCCCCTCATGATAAACTGATTTATATAGTTATGCAAGAAAAACTTACATCATTGTCCTGCACATCAGTCACTGTATGATGAGGATCAGGATAGTGCTTCAAAAACTGGGCTACATAGGTCATGACAGACTTTTCATCTGGCTTGTCAACATCCACATCTGCACAAGTACAGAACACGGTAAATTAATTTTTAGCTGAATGGCACAAAATGCTGCTTAAATGTCTAAACACGATGAAATAAGACATCTGATTTAACCCATGCAAGTAGTTCAAACTTTTTTCAACTATGCATTAGGTACCTTCTGGATCAAGGAGCCTTGGAATTCCTAGTTCTGCTTCTGCGAGTGTGAAGGCTTTTTCCAGGTTTTCTCTATTTGATCTTCCCCTCACTTTCTCCATGTCCACTAAATCTGGGCGGATAGCATGAATAACGGAATGAAATGCAACACCACTCCTCCAACTTTGTCCAAAATCTTTGATTTCAATTCCAACTTGCCTAAAGAATATGAAAGAAAAAAGAAAAAAAGTGACTTGCAACAACATCAGGACTAGATGAAATAGGGGAGGAGACAGGATGCTCCATCCAGTGGCTACCCATCATTAAACATAATGTTTAATGTTAACAACAAACACCTGTTGTTCCTGCAACGCTACTCAGGTCAACTACAGCTCCATCCATCCACTGCATATGTTCATTTCTGCCCAAGAAGATCCAAGAGTTTTTTTTGTCATATACCTACTGTATTTGTCTCCAGTGGGCTTACTAGTGGCAATAAACCAATAGTATTTTGAACAAATGAAGTGCACCAAGGTTCTCAAGGTTCTTGTACGACACACACAGAGTCTGTGGATGTACGCAGTTCCATTCACTATTCTCTCCCTCACTATAAAGAACTTCGTATCTCCCTCCATTATTAAGTACTGCAGTTCAGTTAGGAACATCAGTATTACACCAAAAAAAAAAAAAAAGAAAAAAGACTGCATTGATCTGTTATCTTTTAAAATGAAAGCATGAACAGTGACATCATTGCTGTTCAGGTGACAATGTAACACACAAATTTCTCTATATTCTTACCAAAAGCATGAGTGAAACTATAATTTCATACCCCCAGAACACTTACACATCCACTAAAAAATAAACACAAATGATCAAGAAATAGCAATATACAATGAGAAAGTAATCAGAACTGAATCACACTTCTGACTGCTTTTTTAAAAAGTAATTCTGAAAGGTATGGTGGTCCACAGACTGCAAGACTGTTTTTTACTTTGAGCATGCAAACTTCCTTTGAAGACACACTTCAACACTAAGGTAGTCCTCCCATTGGGAGGATCACAGCAACAGTAACTCTGAATGAAGGCTTCATTCAAAGCTCACTGTGATCAAACACCTTCACTGACTTCAGTGAGCTAGCCCTTGCAAATTACAATGATGTGAAGCAGGGCTAGGCAAAGTGTACCATCCTTTCTCTAGGCTTCTTTCAATGCATTTCACCTACTCTTTCCCAAAATGTTGACAGTTTCATTTATGAACCTTTGTTTGTTTGTATTTTCTTTGTTTACATGTCTGGAAATTGCAGCTGACCACTTTCGTTTGTCTGTCTCTTACTGACAACAGTGCAATAGGAAGAATGCCAAATTAGACTGTACTGCACTATAAATTACTGTATTCTACCTATTTATTGGAGAACTGGAGAAAGTCTGTATCTTTACAATTATATTTTTTTTCTCTGATGCACCATTCCGTAACTGGCCACTTCCTCTCTACATTTTGCAGGTGATTGATCTCTTCAAATAGCAGTGATTCCTTAATTTGAACAAATAAATCCATTTTATTCTTTTACATCTCTGAGTTTTATTTTCTTACTATAGAAGCCAACAAACTACTATTGTATCTTTGATCTAATTTATGCTTTTTTTTTTAATGCCTTTTTGGAGACAGAGCAAACATGGGATAATTACACCAAATAAAGGAGAAAATTCTTAAGTTAACAAGAGTTAGCAAGAAATAACTCCAAAATAACTTGGATTTAAAAGAAAGAAAATTCAGGGCAATTTTTGTAGTAATATGTCCCTTGTATCACAAAACTGCAGTAGGATATTCAAAATTTTCATCACCTGCCTTTCAACAGCAAGTGCCAGAATTTAGTGCTCCTACAAGCTCTGTTGCTGAGAAATGCTAAGTCAGTGTGGGACTTGCATTGTCACATCGAGTGTTTCGGCAGCAGGACTAATACGTTGTCATTCAGACATCGAATTCCCCTTTCAGTTCCTCATTCTGTCAAAGATAATCCCATTCATTATTCAGAAACTATAAAATATGACTGCTTGTAAAATTAATGCAAATTGTTATTTATTCCTTGCTTGTTGTATGGTGGTAACATTTAGCAGCCTCAGTTGTCAAAAAGAATATGATCACAAGGAGGTGCTATACAAATACAGAGCAAAAGGATAATCCCTGACTGAGAGAATTTAGAATCTGAAGAAAAGGTTTGCACTTACTTTGCTGCTGTGTACTGTATCCATTTTAACAAAGCCTTCCTGGCACTTCCTTGGACCTTGGTTACCACCTTCCGTTTGCTTGGGGGACTCGCAGTTTCTGAACTGACAACACTCTCCACAGAAGAAGCGCTGCTAGACAATGACTGCAGCTGTGGGAGATTGCTGGTAAGCTCTTCAATCTGTAGGGAATCTTCTTAATTCTCACCAGTTTCTTAAATAATTTCCTAATACAACTGACAAAGTTGGGCAGAAGCTATGATTAACATGCTGTGTTCTATTTAACTGTACATTAAAGCAGTTTCAAAAATGCTAATGTATGTGCCAGATGATAGTCTTAATTTCAGAAGTACAAAACATCTAGCAATCAGTGGCTTTCTTGACACCCTACAGCTAGAACAATATGCAAGTGTGTCATGTTATCTATTATGACAAATTACGATTGAAATAGGAGACAATGGCTTACATTTAGCTTGAATTCAAATTATAAAACAATCCACTAATTTCAGAGGAGGGTCATTCAATTAAAGAATGGGAGTGACCTCAATGATCTCATCTGGATAGTTCTTTATTTACCATTGTACAGTTTTGGCACAAATTCAATTGTGGCTTTGCTTAGTGGTACCTTGTGAAGGAACAGTGAATGCACTGCAGGCAAAGTGCATTAGTAGTGCTTGCCAAGGGTGTATGACAGTTATTCGCATCATGCCTTCCATCAAATGAAAATCATTAACTTGGTTCTTTTAAGAACATTAAGTTGGCTAACAATTTGGTTCTTTAACATGAAAAAGTTATATCCAGATGACGTTGCAATATTGTCTATGCCGTCTATTTAAAAAACAAAGTTTTGTCACATCACAGAATGACTCTGTCACAATGAGAACCACAGCTCTCACGCATTTCTGCTTTCATTCATGTTAAAATGATGTATCTGGCTGTGACAAATAAAGAAAAGTTCAAAAAATGACCCAAGTAAAACTGATGCAGGGAACTAGAGTTTCAGTAACTCTGAGAAGTGTAATTTTCCCCACTCATCTCAATGAGCTATAAATTAAAATAAAAATGTTAATATCCTTCTGGCTAACTTTTCTTCTGAGAAGGAGATCTGAACCATTGAGGTGTCGCACTGGTTGGTTCTTAGGAGAACAGCATCCCTGAGACATGAAAGCTACGTCACAAGAGAGTCGAAGCCAAAGAACTCCATAAAGAAGAGCAACAAAATCAGTTGGTTTTTAATTGCTGAGCAGTGACTCATTTTGTTAACTCATATGGACAGGATTTAGAAAACCATTTTTCCCTCCCACCTAACTTCAACAGAATGCAAATGATTTCTCCTCTACAAATTCAAACCCCTCTCAATCTACACCGTTCACAGCTAAATTATGTCCTTCCAAATATCTGCATCTTCCAGTGAAATGAGCATGTTTACATTGTTTGAAAATTACTCTCTGACATCAAATGCACTGGAATTAGACATACAGTACAATCACCACTGAGGGTGCTAAAGGTACTTGTACCAAGAATCCACAATTCTATTCTTTTTTTCTGTTGCTCTGTTGTATTCTTCAGAGAAAGTGGAAGAATATGTTCCAGTGATGAAGGAACTCCATTCTAGGCCCAGAACAATCTATTCCAAAGACAAGTATCTAATTTTAACCAGTGTGAAGCACCCCTACCATCAACTGTTGCTTTATTCAGGATCAGATCCTCAGCTAATTATAAAGTGACTTAGCTATGGTGAAAGACTGAAACTGCACCAGTTCATATGAAATGATGACCTGAACTATTATTTGAGCAAGCTACACTGAAGTATAAAAAATGTAGTACCTGAAAATATAAAATTATGGTCCACACCAAGCCAAGCACAATAGAAGGCCTGCCATCAGCAATATCAGTTGAGTTTATGTTGACAAGCTTAATCTATACAGGAAAGAAAACATGAGTTATTACCACCCTCAAGGAATGATAACAATTATGAAACACATTTCAAATAGGTTTTATATTTTTATTGCATTTTTGCAATCAAATAACAAGTTTCTTAATTAAGAAAAAATCATTGAATGGTGCAATTTCACTTTATAGACAAGTATAGCTATAGGTAATGAAAGATTTTTAAGACCATTGCATGCTATTATTTGTAGAAAAAATATTTAATTTCAAGCAGAAAGAACAATAAAAATTACATATAACCACTGTACAAACCGGAGATCCTCTGTATATGGACTAGCATGAAAAGCAAAGGGAAAAAGATGATACAAAAAAAAGTTTTGAATGATTAATTATTAGGTAAATGCATTAATTTAATTTTATAATGCAAAGAAAGCACATTTTTGGAACATCTTACAACACAATTAATAAGGAAAACAAATTAAATACTGTGCAACAGATTTTAAATTATGCAGGGGTTTCTTGCTATAGTTCTAATAGATTTGGAAAGAAAAGAGAAAAGTGAGTTTAAGAATAAACAAGAAAAGGAAAAGGGGGGGAGAAAGCATAAAAGAAAGATAAGGGAAAAAAGAATGCCACAGTTCTCTAGTAGAGAGCCTTTTATTGTAAAGGATATTACCACCAGTGATTAAGGCTCCCTTGCAAGACAAACCTGACTATGCTTCTTTTAAAATGAGAAAAGAGTTGGAAAAAATAAGTTGTTCGAGGTCACATAAAGTTTTTCAACAGAAACGGGAACAGATTCTATGACTCTTAACTCCCAAGTGCTAATCTATAGCCTGAATAAAGTATCACCCTAAATTAAGCTCATAAGATAAAAGGCAGTAAAGGAGGGGATAAAGAGTATATCATAAAGAAATCAGCAGATAGATAATGCTCAAGGAAATGGAATAAAACAGGTTGTATTGGAAAAATAGCAAATACGTTAATACTTATTTTCTCAGCGAAACTAAGAGTCTGCCATCAATCATGATATAAATATGAAGGGCTGCTAAAGTGTTCATGCACTACAAGCTTGTTCATAGACAAAGGTTATGGAAAAGCCTTGGAGAATAGGTTAAAGAAAGGCAGGAGAATGACTTTAGGTGACCTCATTTGTCTCCCCAAAATGGAGAAAAGACTGCATTTCTCTGAATCAGCAGCTGGAAACCCACTAGATGATGTCAAGAGCAATCAAAAAATTGTTGTTCAGGGCTGTGAAGCTCTTTTCAGAATTAAAACTCCACAGGCTGCTTGGGAAGAGGCAGAGGAGAAATCCCCACAGGTTATATTTCCATTCCTCTTCACCAAGCAATCTGACAAAACTCTGGGAAAACTGACATTACTTGCTTCTCTACCAGTCAATAAGGAAAATTTTCTGTTACCTACCTAAAGAAAAATATACCAAGAGTCTCATTCTCTCAGCTGGACCAATTCCAACAAAAGCTTTTCTTTCTCTAGAAAGCGAGGTTTTTCTTATATGGATTACAAATTGAAAGATTTATAGGACTCAACTAAAGCTTCTGATTAGGCTACTGTTCATAGAAGCATAGCCTATCTAGTCTGGTTATTGTGTTACCTTTGTCTTATACTCCATTAAAATGGATATAAAACTACAAAATACACTTTTCAGAACCACTAAAAAAACAGTTTGGTCTGGAATGACATCTGTTAATTGCCAGCTGCATTTTGCAGTATAACAGGAGTATTTGCAGAAGCCTGTTTGCACAGTAAAAATAGGAAGTGGATTAAACATGCAATAAACTTTACTTATGGGAGAGCCCATGGAGGAACGAGACCCTGTCAGCACTCCCCAAAGCATTGTGCATGGCCACCCATCTCCCTTCGTTCACCATTGAGTACAGACCAGGGACTGCACTCAGCTACTGAAGAGGCATTTGTTGTCTGAACAGCATCCCCATCTCCTCTGGGAGGAAGAGGGTGACAGACTGGAGAGATGCATCCTTCAGGCTGGATTCAACCTAGAGACCACCTGCTAATGCACACCAATCTACCTGACAAACTGCATATTTCCAACTTCCTCCAGAAGAAAATCTGGCATATTGATACAAAGTACAGACAAAAATACTCAGATATTGCAAGCAAATTCACGGCACTCCATTTCTGGCAATCTATCTTGATCCTCAGTTACCTAGCTGCACTGCTATATTACTCCTGGGATCTAAGGTGGGTCATTCAAATTTCAGGTCACCCAGTACATTGTGACATGTAGACTAGGGAAGCATGGGTTTTTTGCTCTTCACCTCAGCCTTGTCTTTTCTTATACAGGTCTCACCAGAAAGCAGCTCTCTTTGTATCTAAGCCTCCACTATCAGACTGCATGTGATATGGTTTGTATTAACAAACTGTACTACATAAACTAGTGAAATCGTGAACTAAAGCTGAATTTCACTTTGGGAATATATTTGTCTTTGCTTTGGTTATACATTTTTCAATTAAAAAAAGTACTCTTATAGATTTCTTTCTACAGGCATCTGCTAAGATTGTTTCCCACGTAAGAGAAATATAATTAGGTCAAGATGCCATAGGGTTAAAGAGAGGGAAAGAATGCCAAAAGCCAACAACTCCTGGTATACAGCAGTGGAGACATAAAATTCATCAGGTGTTACATCTGCATTGAGAAAAATTGAACTAAAATGCAGAAATTAGAAGAACAAAATATCTGTAATCTAATTAAAAAAACAGATACAAGTCATTACAATATAGAGAGAAAAGTAAGGGAAAAAAGGTAGAAGAATGCTTTTATTTGATATTCATACCTAGATCACATCAAGCTTTCAGGTTTTCTGTCTTTTGTTAAATTTAGAAAATATTTTATTTCATTTCTAAAATGGCCACAGCACTGACTTCACCAGAATCAAACCAGGAATTAGTCTGAAGTCCTGCCAAGCTAATAAGAGGTCACACTGTTCTAAATTTTCATGTCTATACTTTTAGGGAGTAGAGTTTTTCATGTACAACCTAGTGAAGTCCATAAATCTATTCTTCTAATAATAAATGAACGCCTATACTGAACTGAAGATCATTGTTCTTTGCTGAGAACAGCAACAGGAAACATGAGGACCTGAAGAGCACATAAAAAAAAAAAAAGGAGAACATCCAAGGTGATTCTAACTAAAAAAAAAAAAAAAAAGTTTTACCCTATACTTTGCTACATATTAGTGTTGGAACTTGACAGTTTTACTTTACAGCAACTTTTAGGCACTGTATAGAAACTAAAGACTACATACATAGCACCAATTTTGGAGAATAAGAACCAGTACGTGGATACAAATCATACATTAAAGGAAAGAAAGAAAAAAGTAAGGAAAAACCAGGACTAAGTGCTACCAAACCTACCCGTCTTCCTTCTAGAAACTTAAGAGCTGTGCCAATGTTGGCAACCCAGTGAATTCGCTTCAGCTGACGTCCCTGCTCACAAGGCTTAAAGAGAAAGAACAGTGTAAACTCCAATTAGATTTACACCAATTTGCTGCAAAAAATGAAGTTCCAGATTATTATAAATTCCTATGTACATAACTTAGTCTGATTTACATGTTAAAATGTTCTTTGGAACAGTCAAATTCTATTTTTGCATATACTAACAGGGAGGACTGACAGACATAGGGGACGTAACTGTGACAGTTCTATTATAAAAAAGTTATAAGATTTCTTAATAACCTCAGGATGTAAGCTGTCAGCTTCAGCCCATAAACATCAAATCAGAGAACTGTTTTTATGGAAAATAAACTACTTCTCTTTTTATACACACACACACACACACACATATATACACACATATTTGAAAGAAGGCAACATTCTCTTAGTAAAATATTTTTGCTTGCAAAGGAGAAATCAAGGTAGTTGTTATTTTTAAAATATCAGTCTGCAGTGAAGACATTTTACCTAGAGGATTTTTATCCATTCTCTCTAATACCTCATTGGTGATAAAAAACCAGGTATCACAAACCCTCACTGAACAATTAATTTTGCTGAACTTTAGACATGTAGGGTAAAAAAAGACAGAATTCTTTGGATTAAATAAAGAACACATCCTAGGCTTCTAATACTCTACAGTGGAATTAAAATCCCCACTGAATCTTATACTGTAATGCAAATAGACCACTACTATCATTTAAATTCATGTTCATAAATTTACAAGTGGATTTAACAAAGGCCTGCTATAGATTCTGAAACTCCTCTTGCAGTTACTACAGAATATCATATTCTGCTATACATGACCTTTAAATAAACCAGACATTATTCTGGTTCTGTGATATCTCTTGTCTTTCACTAATTAATGTAGGCAGGATACAATCCAACGAAGTTCATTGTAAGAGGTGCCATCATTAAAATTCTTTTCCTATTTTACTGCTTCTGTTTTGCCACAAGAGGGAGACTTTCTGTCTTAGACAAACAGAAACAGAAATGGGTATATTTCAACAGAGCAGAAACACACTTGAAAGCACAGTTTTTTTCCCATCTTACAGTAAAATCACTCTTGCAGTCTGAATTACTACCTAATTTTGGGTATCGCCTGTGATCAAAACAGAGGTGGAATATGAAAAAGGGGCAAAGGTGTGGCACTTGCAAATTGCCTGCACGTGAGGGAACGGGTAACGTCTGAACCCTACAGCAAGCTGAATGACGGACAGTTGCCCTGCTTTTTCAGATGCTGCCACCCGATCTGTGAGATGGTTTGGAAAAAGTGAGAGCCCTTGGCCTAAAACCCTTTCATTTTTCTCCCACATCACATGCACAAAACTAGCCTAGCTCCCAAGAGACAGTCTATTTGCCATGTATACACCCTAGCCTCTGTACACGACTTGGTTGTGAAAAAGCCATTTGGCATCAGTTAAGGTTCTTTACAGTAGCAGAGCAGCTGTCTAGGTAAATGGATTTAAGGCCCCATGAAATCTGAGGGGCTCACAATTTTTTTTTTCAGAGAGAAAGCTGTAAATGTAACAAGAGAAGATTGTCATTATTTCTTCAAGATGTATGGAAGTAGCTTGCAGTTTAGACCTTGTTTCTGTCATAGTAGTAACTCCCAGATGAACTGCAAAGATTAATACAAATACGCAATTTTTATAAACTAGTAAGACAAAATTAATAGAAAATGCATAAAATCAAGAATGTCAGTCCGTAATCATCTTTTTTTTTTGTTTTGTAACCAAATAGCCCACTCTGTGAATAAACTTATTTTGCTATGTTGCAGTCAGGTTTTTTATGGTATTCAAATATAGAAACATATTAGAAAATTATACCCTAGAGAAGTTATGCAAGTATCCTGTACATTCAGAAGGAAGGAAGGAAGTTCTTACCAGCTTCTGCCCTGAAAGAACCTCCAAAAGGGCAATTAGCATTACCCCATCTTTGATATCTTCAAACAGATCATTCACCAGCAAGGGAGGATTGCGCTGAAAAGGGAGAAGACTTCAGATGTTATAAAGGCTCACGAGCATTACATCCTACCTCCCTTCCTTCCAAACAGAAGCACAAAGAGTGGCTGGTCTCCTTCTTTTTTAAAATGTTTAATATCAATGTATCATTTAACCATTGCTTTGCCACCATATTGTTTAACTATTTAACATTTCTGGCACAGGACTGTAACACTACATGCTTTCTGCCACTAATGATACAATGCAAAAACCTTCTGCTCCCTAAAACAAGCAAAGAAACACACCAACAACTGTCTATGAGTCTATAAAATATGCACAACTTACAGATGTACTGTTACAGTCACATTTCAATTGATCAGCATATTTTGCCTAGTGTTAAGTATGTCACAGAAATTTCACTCTCTCAGTCTGAGAAATACAAGGAGCTGTATGAAGGATAGGTCCCTAAAGCAGTGTGGCTGGTTGAGCAACACTGCTTCTTTCTCACAGCTGACAGTTGTTACACTAAGTTGCTGTATTTTCTCTCCTTTCCTCCAGGCCTTGCAGACTTCCAGTGCTGTTAACACTGTGTCAGCTTCTATTTAAGACAAATTGCTTAACGTATGTCTTTACATTTGCAAACACAACAACGATAATACTGAAAAATCTGTAAACAGATGATGTTTTAGGAATTTTGAACAACAAGGTCACATCATTAAATTCTATCTTCTTAAATACATCCCAGTTTGTGGAACTATGGCTCTCAGCTGGTCAGTACTTTAATGATCACAAAGTATCTCTTACAAAAAAAAGGTTTAAACTTGGTCCAGCTGAAATAAATGAAATAAACACCCTCTAGCTTCCATGAGCTTGTCAGCATTCACATACTACTACTATTTATACCTGCTCGTTCACTAAAACAACAATCAGACTACAAAATTCTTGAAATTAGTTTAGGTTTAATAATTTGCTTTTGGGGTACTTCTGAAAAAAGATGAACGTACAACTTGATCTACTACTTCTGTTCTGTAGAAACATAGATTTGAAAAGATGAAAGTAACAAATGAAACACTGCTCTTGAAGAGGTAGAAATGCTACAACAAATCAGGATAAAGCAAAGGTTTCTAGTTCCCAAAATCAAAACACCCTGTCTTCATTGTTCAGCTTGGATCAACTAATATTTCAATGAGATGTAATTTTGGCATAAAGTGGAAAAAGAACTCTGCTGAAAGCAGACTTCATCTGAGATTTGATGTGCTCTGATAGCCACAATAATAAAAGATTCTATTTTCTCGTGTATATAAAATAAAGCAATTACAACTCATTATGAGGGTATATTTAATCATAGCTCTTTTTTATTTCCTAGTAATGCAATAGATAATGGATCATGTTCTCCCTTAATATAACACCAAAGAAATCAACGGAGCAAACAGGTCACTGGAGATTAATTTGTTCCAGTCTTGCATCACAGGCAGTTGACATAAATGCAATTAATTTTCCTCACCTTCTATGTTATCATTTCCTGTTTGAAGTTTGGAGCAGCTTTTGTTTTATCAGTATTACCACATAATATAATACTGAAGAATTTTGTGCTAAAATAATTCAGCAATAAAGGCAAGAGGATTATAGCAGCTGACATCCTAATCCCAACAGGAGGTAAAAGCCTAAAAAATCTCACCACCTATCTAAATGCCCCAGGAGTGAGGTTTGTCTCTTGAAGCTCACTCTACAGTAATGAAGAGAAACAGGTTCTTATAGACGGAGATTTAGGATACATTTAAATTGAAGGGAAGGTAAGATTTATAGTGCCCCACAGCCCTGGCGTCCATAACATGCCTGTCAGACAACCTGTTTGAGCACAACACAGCTCCCTTCCAGCTCGAGCAGTTTGGTATCCTTACTCTCAAACAGGGGTACAGGCCAGAATTTGCCTCATCCCAACATGGAGTCAAAAGTCATCTGGCATTCATATGCAAACCAAATCTGGGAAGCACCTCTGGTTTCCACAGTGCATAGCTTCACACTGTAGATACAACCTCTGATCGCCCATGCCAAGCTCTTGCTCTGAACCATCCTTCACTGGTCGCTCTTCACTGACAGCAGTTACAAAACCAACCTTTGCACCCTAACTGAGGCATAGTACTAAGGTAAGGCAGTAAAAGTATCCCTGAGGTAAGTAAGTAAATTAACACCTACGATACTTTCCTTTTGACATGAAGCGAATAATGGTTTGGGGAAAACTAGGGGAAGTATGAGAAAGCATTGAATAACATGAGAAGCAGCAAAGAAACCATCAAATGACTTACACCAAAGTTAATAAGACCTACTGCTCTGAAGTGTGAGAAGCACAAAAATTGTCCATAAATCAGCAGGCTGAAATGCACTTTTTGTTGCTGGAAGGTTGCATAATTACAAACATTGCTAGTGTTTAGCAGCACACACCATGTACCTTAACACCAATAAAACAGGAACAGAAGGCAGGTACAACAGCTGTGTCACAAGATCTCCTGTATGAGACTCCTCTAATATGGAAAATTAGTTAATTATACAGACTGCCAAAAACGATTTGCGTATTACGCTTTATAATACAATGTTTTTTCACTACCCTCAAGATGTTAACAGCTAATTACAAGGAAGTAAGACCCTCATTGTGTTTCATAAATCACTTTTTTTTTTTTTTTACTATTCTGGGCTCATAGCATAGAATTTACCCTATTATTATGACTCCAGTCTCTCTCAGAAGTATGGAGTAAGTTATATTTTTAGTGGCATATATAGAAGAATAGATTCCTCTTTTAGATAAGGATTCCGTAGATACCAATCTTATTCTCCATGCTGATACAGTTCAGGAAGATATACATACACTAGCTGATACTGAGAAGTTCATACACCCTTATTTATTGTATATGGACCACCGCACAGGATGGCTCAAGCTACGTGACTGTTTTTCCAGGAAGATCCTCTACTGAGATTAACACAACATCCTCTGCTGGAATGGATAAATACCTACTCCTTGGCCGCATATATAATGTCAGAAGAAATGAAAGGAGAAAGTGAAGCTGTACACTGCTTACTTATTAGCCTCCAGAGAAGAAAGGGTTTTTTTGTAAAGCTGTATTCAGATTAAATCTCTTGAATACTTTTTATTCTAGAGACTCAACAGGACTTAACACGTATTCACTTAGTTGCCTTAATGCACTGCCGAAATACTAACTGTAAATCAGTAAAAGCAGGGAAAGAAAACTAACTTAAAATTTTGTAATCTTGAAAATGTTGAATGTACTCCAGAAATTGGCTTTTTGCACGTAAATGTATAGCTCCAGCAATGCAATCAACTGCAATGATCCTAATACGCTGTATTTTGAATACTGGAAAGCCTGTGCAAAGAATTTAATGAAGTAATTTTTAAATCAGGAAAAAAGAACTTTTTAAAAGGATATGAAGTAAACTCTCAAAATCCTATAATATTAAAGAAAAGCTGTTATTTATAAACTTCAACAAAATTCTTTGGTGGAACTCAGGATATACTTCGATGAACAATCAGACATCAAATCCACAATTTGTCAGGTCTACACTAAGATTTCAGATGCCTTAGTATTTGATTTTGGTTTTTTGTAAGCTTCTTCAAGAAAGCAAAGTAGCAAAATAATACTAATAATATGCTACATACTGCATTGCATGTATTCTACTAAACACTCATTTATTGCAGTATATGCAATCACTGTAGTGTAGTTTATAGTGACAATGACATTTAGGAACAGTCATGTCACAAAGAGGGAGGCACACTCAGCACAAGTAAATTCATGTGCTCTGTAGGAGGAATATGAATTAATTGGGAATGAATCTTAAAGGTTAATGAAGCAGATTTTTCCCATATTAAATATTTATTTAAATAACTGTATTTAGAATTGATCACAAATAGGAACTGATGAGGAAATGCTTTGCTTAAACTTGTTGCTCTTAAAAACTTACCTAATTTGCTGTAGTGTTCAGGAAATATTCTGAATGATTTAAAGAACTGAACATCAGTACATATGAAAAGTATTTGACTGACAAGCCTCAAAAAAAGGGATTTATAATAGACCTGCAATCTCTAGACATTCCTCTTCTGACACAGTAAAATAAGTTTTGTAAAATCTAAACCTCAGATATGGAACCAACATATATTTGCTAAGCTTTACTCTTCTATTCCAACACTTTTTCTTGCATTTCATTTCTCATTTGCATCTTTGCTACAGGAGTCTTTTCCTCACACCCTGTACTTAACGCCTCTAATGAATAAATCATACTATACAAACAACAGTATTTGCATCATAATGAATACCAATGCAAATATTGAAAACTATCTTTGCCACACTAATTTTTAAATAATGTTTCAAAAACTGCTGAAAAAACCCACGTGCACAAACAGGAACAAATCTGTGTAACTACTGAATTTGTCTCTGCAGGGAAATACATGTGAGAACAGGAAGGAGAATGTGAAACTTCAGAGTTACTCTGTAATAGCTGGCCCACCCCTCCACCCCCAATTTAATTCGTAAATCCTTAGAGCACATAGGTTTTCATGTTCCTTGCTGTTAATGACTTTTTTTATGACTAAAGTCTGAGGGACTTAGCCCTAAATTTTGCATGATTAGTTTCACCACACAAATTAATTTAGTGTTCACTGTTTAACATTAGAGGTTATGTGCAATACTAGTGAAAACATACAGTGACTGTTGGAGCAGAAAACTGCCAGTTATATTTTCCTCATCATGCAGTCAAGATGGAGATTAGCTTAAATTTTTTCTGTGTCAGTGACTAAGATACCGGGAGCTTCTGTTTTCCCATTTGAAAAGGACAAAAAGACACAGAATTACTTAGTGCATTGATGAAAATTGATGAGGTTCATGTATGAAGACCAAGTTACATTCTAAGAACAAACTACCATCGCTGAGAGCATTGTGTGTAAGACCTGTAGATATTGATATACACATTCCTTTTTCTTCCTTTCTTTGCTATAAAACATATGTTTTGCAATTCAAAAGCCTTAATGTAAG